TTCAAGACACTTCTAAACAGCTTAAAGTGACATTTAAAGGCTTAACTAGGTTAATTAGGTTAACTAGGCAGGTTAGGGTAATTAGGCAAGTTATTGTATAATGATGGTTTGCTCTGTACACTGTCGAAAAAAATAGCTTAAAATGGTGTTTAAAAAATTAAAAACTGCTTTTATTCTAGCCGAAATAAAACAAGTAAAACTTTCTCCAGAAGAAAAAATATTATCAGACATACTGACTTTTCCTTGCTCTGTTAAACATCATTTGGAAAATATTTAAAAAAGAAAAAAAAATTAAAAGGGGGGTGAATAATTCAGACTTTTACTGTATATGGATGGAAAAATATCCAGCCACTTGTAAAAATAGACCTGATGTTTTTATTAATGATTTTACAAATGTAATAACAGCAGTTTGTAAAACAAAAGGTCCATGGAAAACAAAGAAACAATAAAGCATTTACTGGATTTTAAACAATGACAATTCTAATTACACTGAAAAAATTTGTTCAAAGATGATTCCTTGGATTTACTCATTTTTTTGTGTATAGAGTATGTAAACAATTTATTTGTGTTGAATTTAAACAAACAAATTAAGTTGAACATTATTAAACTTAATTTGTTTGTTTAAATTCAACACAAATAAATTGTTTGCAACAGTTCTGCATGCAACACTTTTTTCAGTGATATTGATTTTTTGTCATGTGTGACAGTGACATTGCATGTCAACAACCCATTTAAAGTCTACTCTAGTGACACTTTAAATCACCCATAAACTCTTTAAACAATTTCCTCCATGGAAATTCAGTGGTTTCTCAAATCAGAACTTTTGATCAAGCTATTAACAAGCATGTGCTTGCATTTACACAGCTGTAATGTGTGTTATTGGAAGAAACATTCATTTCATTTATTTTCCTTCGGCTTAGGTCTTTATTTATCAGGGGTCACCACAGCAGAATGACCCGTCAACTATTCCAGCATATGTTTTATGCACTGGATGCCATTTTAGACACAATTCAGTACTGGGAAACACCCATACACTCTCACATTCACACTCATACACTACAGCCAAGTTAGCTTATTCCAATTCACATATGCCGCATGACTGCACTGTGGGGGAAACAAAGCCTGATCTTGCGAGAAAACGTAAGCATTTTACGTTTTGCCATTTTAGTGACTAATTCGTACGAATTTGTATGAGTTCAGTCGTACGAAATTGTATGATTTTAAAAAGGAGGCACACAACACCACCCCCAAACCCAACTGTCATTGCGGGATGAGCAAATTGTCCTAAATTGTACGAATTGCCGTGAGATTGTGTTGAGAAACCGGAGCACCCAGAGGAAACCCACGCCAACACGGGGAGAACATGCAAACTCCACACAGAAATGCTAACTGACCCAGCAAAGACTTAAACCAGCAACCTTCTTGCTGTGAGGCGACTGTGCTACCCACTACGCCAGAGGAAACCCACGCCAACACAGGGAGAACATGCAAACTCCACACAGAAATGCTAACTGACCCAGCCAAGACTTAAACCAGCAACCTTCTTGCTTCGAGGCGACTGTGCTACCCACTACGCCAGAGGAAACCCACGCCAACAAAGGGAGAACATGCAAACTCCACACAGAAATGCTAACTGACCCAGCCAAGACTTAAACCAGCAACCTTCTTGCTGTGAGGCGACTGTGCTACCCACTACGCCACTGTGCTGCCCTCTCTGAGATGATGTAAATCCAAATTTTGGAGGGCTTATTGTCTTTTATTTCATTACATAATAGAAAAGCTCAGCTGTAGCATTCCTTTTCCAGGTGTAGCTCTAATCTCTCTGGCTGTATTAAGCCCTGGGCTGCTCAAGCGGGGTCATAGTGCTTTGAGAAACACCCCTAATCAAAACATCCATCATCGTGGTGTTGTTATATGATCAACTGGTAATGTCAAGTGGCATCCATGGGTGAACGCTGTTACTTAACAAGCATTACACAAACATACAAACAACTCAAGATCGTAACTAAACACCTCATAAAAATGTGTGCCCGCTTTATATGATGCAACTTTAGTAGTTTCAACTACACATACTGAACATTTCTAAGATTTCTAACAGAAACATCGTATAAATTCATTCCTGAATGGATGTGAAGTCATCTGATCTGCCTCATATGGCTTGGGTAGACCTGGAGAACCGGTTCTTTACCCAACCCCGAGGGGTGTTGGGTTTTCTGTTCAAGCATGCACAAAAAAAAAAAAAAAAACTATTTAAATACAAAATGTTCCACAGGGAAATCTCTTTCTCTCTAATTCTCATGTGGTATTATGATGTACTTTTTAGATTATTTAGCTAAGGCCTCCTATGATCCGTACAATGATCCTCCTTGTGCGCTTATTGCGTAAGCGCCACATATCAGTTGATCACACTTCATTTCATGCCTTCAAACATTGCGTGTAATCTGAGAAGGTTAAATCACACTGAAATAATGATGAGGGTGACTGGGAAAGAGATGGGGTTTTTGTGGGCTGGCGCGAGTGTCTGTAAGGCGATAATACAAGCCTGATGAACGCTGGCAGTGATATCCACGCACTGAATGACATTAACACACTTCTGAAGCGCAGGTGCCCAAAGGATCAGTTTACCTCAATGTAATGGCGCCCTCTGTCGGTGAAAACAACAAACTGCACAGCTGAATAATGGAGATCGAGAGGTCAACACGCAGTCTAATGTCTGTAGAAAGCTGCTGGTTTACATTTGCGAATAGAAATAATGCAGCAGAATACAATTCACAAAGCCGTCGATGGAGCAATATTCTTTCTTGCACCTATGATGAAAATCATCTTTTGTAAGCTGTTTGAACAGAACTGTGTGTATAGGTATAGTGTGTCCACGGTCATATTGAAGTAATAAAAACACAACAAGTCTCTTTTTTTACATTTCCTGATGTTAAAATAGAAAAATCCCAGTGATCTTGAGGCCTACCGCGACTTGAAGTAGGAGTGCGGTTTTCCCCGCCAACTGAACTGATTGACAGGCACCCTGTTTCTATAATAACATGTCTACAATGGTTCACAGAATTTTTGGGGGGGCAAACAAAATGGGATTTAAATATTTGTTAAAACTCTCTGTGATTTTTATAAATTTTATAAGTTTAAAATCTTTTTATAACAGCATGTTTGTAATAAAGACAGTAAAATTCCTATGTAATCCTTAACTGCTGTAATCACCAAGGCCACAGGGTGTCAGTAAACGCTAATATATGTGTATTCAAACGGCATTTGAGTGAGACTCATCATTTTTAGCATTTCAGAATAGCTTGAATAAACACCACCACACATACATGAAATAAACTTACTTGGTATTTTTAACTTTTGAGCTGTACTTCAGCTTCATCCAAGTGTCTCTATCACTGACTGCTGTTTATCTGATGTAACGCATGATTAGACGCATACACACATATGGGAACGGTGGGCAGGGAGAAGCAGCTCATTTGCATTTAAAGCCACAGGCTACAAAACAGCTGCAATGTATTCAGACTTCTGGAGGCTATAATATATTGTCTGATAGGTCATTTGATCTGAAACTTTATAGACACATTCTGGAGACACTTTACATCTTGTAAAATATGTAAAATAGGTGTCATTTAAAACGTGAGAAAACTGCTAGCTTAAAAAAGATCATTTGACAGTTAAAAAAAATAAGACAGTCTGTTGTAATTTGGAATTGTTAAGTTAAATTAATTCTTATGGACATAGTTCATTTAGGCTACTTAAAGTCCATGCTAAATCAAAACTTGCTATGCTTTGTTTTTTGCTAGCGCGCATATTTATTCTTTAGATTAAATTAATCCATCCCGGTTAATCCACAAAAAAAAAAATAATAATGTTTGCTCTGGTAATCTTTTTTTAGGGGGGGTTTACCTTTTATTGGGATAGGATAGTGGAGGACAGACAAGAAAGTATTGGGAGCAGAGAGAGGGGAAGGGTCACCATAGGACCTCTAGCCGAGAAATGAACTTGTGCCAGCACACTTAACCACTAGGCAACTGGATATTGATTGTTCTGGTAATCTTTAATCAAAGTCTAGATTTTATTTGCTTCTATGTTTGGAGCGGTGTCCTTCACAGTTTGACGGATTTAGCTGCAATATTCTATGCTTAGCGCAGAAGTATAAATTAGCCTTAACAGTAAGAGTGGCGTGATTAAGAATATTGTGGCTAAAGCAGTGACGGTGACGTCAAGGCGCAGCCTAGGTGCGTTCACATAGCCCGAATGTCGCCAAAGCTGGCGCACCTCTCAAAAAATGTAACTACAAGTCGCAATGACGCATATCGTAAGCTCTGAGATTGGTCGGCTTGGTATCGCTGTTGAGTGTGGGCGGGGGTGAGCCGCGTGAACTTGTTGGAGCAAGTGTCAAGTTCTGTAAAGGCGCTCCAGATGAAATCAGTTGCTTTGCATTTACCTTATTAATAAAGTTCTTGCATGTCCGCTTTTTCCCCCCTCAGAATGAGCGAGTTTTAGCTACTTGTACATCAAGGTAGCATTCAGAAAAAAACAAAACACCCACAATAGTTACCCACGTAACCCGACATAGAGGATCATAAAAATTTACTGCCAGCTAGGGTTTCGAAAGTGTTATTGCAGAGCAACACAAGCAGTATGCAGAAATATGAACGACTACGTGCAAGGCAGGTGCCGATGGTTTGCTATGACGGAATGATGCGTAAAAAAAAAGCCCCGCCCCTACTCAATATTCTGCTTCAGTTAGAATGACATCAGCATACTGAAATAAGTCTTGACATAGACTTTAATAAATTTAAGTCAACAGGTTTACAATTTTTTTTCTAAGTAAAGTCAACTGATCTCTTTTTAAAGTGTAAAAAATGTCCATTTTACTGTGTTCATAAAGCAACTGAATATCCATCCTTTTGTCTTTGTAACTTCATTATTTCGGTGTTGCTCATTTATTCAAAGTTTTATAGCATTGATTTTCTTGACATGTTTATTGTTGTCCACAGGCCCGTGTAAAAATGTGAGCTGGCTGCTGGGCAGAGACGGCGACGTGCACGTGTGTATTATTGGAGAATCAGATGTGCTCGAATCTCCAAAACTCATCCTGTCTGAGCTGAGAAATAACACAACAGCCAACGGCAACAACATAAACAGGTATAACAACATCCTATCAAGTAATCCAGTAATCATAAAGTAGGCAGTGCAATGCACATTTACACTTCACGTTAACAGTCCTCTTTAGACATTATACTCGCTAAAAGCTTGCAACAATATGTCAACTAACTGTGTGTTCACACATAGAAAGTATTAATAAACCTATTTTATTAGTCGCAAGATTTTGTTTTTAAGATTGGTCACTATAACTTTTCAGTGAATTTAAATCATCTGTGTATTAGAAGTGATAACATTTGTAGTTTTAGCAAAAACTTAATTGTATTAAATCTTTCAAATGAAGAAGACTATATCGTACAAGTGTCCAAACTCGATCCTGGAGGGCCGGTGTCCTGCAAAGTTTGATCTCCAGGACCGAGTTTGGACAGCTCTTCTATAGTGGAATTTATTCAAATTTCATTATTCTCTGCACCTGATCACAGTTAGACTCTCCAGAAAAATCATGAGATATTGTCTATTTAGTATGTCTTTGCTTTATTCTATTTACCTATGTTTGTAAGTTGCATATTATACTTAATGCAGTTTGACTGCCCTGTGAAATAATCCCAATCAGTCTAAAATTCAACGTTTCTTTTCTAAAAAGAGCTATTGAAGTCATCTAGTGAAAATTATATTCATATTAGAGCTGTACAATACATTGTTTGAGCGTCGATATCGCAATGTGTGCGTCCCAAAAGACACATCGCAAGACATGCAATGTTGAGATAAGATTAAAGATGACCAGAAACCACAGGTCAAAGCACACAAGTTTTGTGGAGACACTGCAGAATTGAATGCTAATAGAATTAAAGTTTGTCATCTTTATGTTTTTTAGAGCCTGCGACTGTGAGACAGTTTAAATCATTTTAGTAGTGCATAAAGGAGTTTATATATGTACAGTGCTATTTACATTTAATTATTAATTATATACCTAAAAACTGCTGCTCTCTCCTGGAGCACAGTTTATTTCACTTTAGTATTTGCTCAGTTGTGTTTATCTATGACTGTAGTTTATGAATATGATAAATCACAAGAAAACATATTTATATTTCACTCCCAAGTAATGGCTTGGAGCTTTTTAAGTCATCTGGTGAAATTCTCTCACAATATATATCACAAAAAGAAAAAAAAATCTCAATGTAAAATTTTTCCAAGATTGTGCAGCCCTACTTCATATTGCAATATACAGTTGAGGTGAGAATTAATAGCCCTCCTGTTGAATTATAATTATTTTATATTTTTCCCTAATTTCTGTTTAACGGCAAGTTCTATTTTCTGTGAGTTCTAAACATAAAAGTAATATATAATAATAGTAGTATATAATAACTATCTAATAACTGACTTCTTTTATCCTTGCCATGGTGACAGCCAATAAATATATATATATATATATATATATATATATATATATATATATATATATATATATATATATATATATATATATATATATTTCCCCAATTTCTGTTTAACGGAGAGAAGATTTTTTCAACACATATTTAACATAATAGTTTTAATAACTCATCTCTAATAACTGATTTGTTTTATCTTTGCCATGATGACAGTAAATAATATTTTACTGGATATTTTTCAAAATACTTCTATACAGCTTAAAGCAGGGGTCACCAATCCTGGTCCTGGAGGGCCGGTGTCCCTGCAGGGTTTAGCTCCATCTTGCCTCAACACATCTGCCTGGATGTTTTAAGTATACCTAGTTAGAGCTTGATTAGCTTGTTCAGGTGTGTTTGATTAGGGTTGGAGCTAAAATCTGCAGGACACCGGCCCTCCAGGAACAAGTTATATATATATATAGCTTAAAGGGGCTAATAATTTTGACCTTAAAATGTTTTTATTTAATTAATAATATTAATAATTTATTTAGCCAAAATAAAACAAATTAGACTTTCTCCAGAAGAAAAAATATTATCAGATATACTGTGAAAATTTTCTTGCTGTGTTAAACATCATTTGAAAAAATATTTAAAAATAATTATCAAGGGGGGGGCTAAAGATATTGACTTTAAAATGTTTCTTTTATTCTAGCCAAAACAAAACAAATAATATGCAAAATACGATGAGACCATCGCAACTGGCCCACCTTTACAGGTACTCTGCCCTGCACCATCTGTGGGCCAGTGGCATAATTCCCCACTCCTTTCTTCCGTCAGCAACAGTTAAGCATATACTCTATATAAGGGTTGATGGTTTCCTTGGTGTTTCACCGATTTAAGCCCATGACACCTCGGGAGGGCTCTACAATAGATCCAGCATCCTGGATCTACTCCTGCTGACCATCACCCAACTCTATGATATGGTTAGTCTTTCAATAAGACTTCTCCAAAAGAAAAAATGTTATAGGAAATACTTTAAAAAATGTCTTGCTTTGTTAAATTTGGGAACAATTTGAAAAAGAAACAAAGGAAATCTAATCATTTTGATATATAGCAGAAAAACAAACCATTCCAATGTAATTTATTCATATGAACCCTAATTAGAATAACTGCAAGAACAAAAGCTATCAGGTCAAAATGTATTTGAATGCAATTGAAATATTCAGACCACTGAGCTAAATTTGATTTTATTTTGTTCACAGAGCCAACGCAGAATCTGTGAAGAGCAGCTCGATCAAACTCAACAGAGTACAGCAAACCAGCACAGAACCAGGGATTCAGCTACTGCTCAAGGTGTGTGTTCATTGTGGACTAAATAATGTAAATAATGGCTAACAAATTCATTATCTTATGTACACTCAAGTAATTCTAAACATTAATGAATGTCTTCCTTCCGTTGAACATAAAACAAAAAATTCTGAAGAATGTTGGGGAAAAATGAACAAAAAAATCTATTGAAATCAATGGCTGCTGCTTTCCGTCAATCTTTTAAAATATTTTCTTGTGTTGAACAGAAGACGAAAACTACTTAAATGTAAATCATTTTTGAGTGAACTGTCTCTTTAAGACCAATGTTATGCTGAACAAAAATGACATCCCAACACAGTATTGCTTATCAAACAAAAACATTTCATCCAAACCAAAACTACCTTAGTGACCTTTAAAAGTATGTTCTGTACGCTCTATGAATGTGTGTAGCATGACAGAAATCTAGACCTAATGCATCCACCATGTTGACACCGTCATGTGACCAGCAAGTTTCAATTGAAACGCTTCACTGCCACACACACATCATCTCCCATGGCCTCATGGGACAGTAAAGTGTCCATCAGATCCACATTTCCGAATCTAGCTGGAACTAGCACATTATACAAGAACAGATTTATGAATACTACTTATGAATACATGTCCTTCTCAGCTCACCAACTGTTTTTTGCTTACTATACAGTATAGGAAGAGACTGAAATGCATTAAAATGTCCATGACTTTCATATATATCCAATAAAATGGAAAAAAAAAATATTACATTTGTAATGCTCAGGCTGCGTATTAGCAATTAGATTTTTTAAATAAAAGTTTTTATTTATTTATTTACTGTACAGTTTTGTTTTGTTTTTTGATTAATTTTCTATGTTTAGACAATATCAGACAACCCATCCATGCTGACATTGTTCTACACTTCAGTCATTTTTGAATGATCATGTGACATGAGCAAGGGCTGCTAATAATTCACCCTTGAATAACAGAAATAAATGACATTTTAGAATAAATTAAAAATTTAAAACTGTAAAATTAATGAGTTATATATTCACTTCAACCACCTTATGCTGTTACACGCTATTCACACGTAAATAGATGAGTGAACATTTTGAGTTTACTCGCTTAATTCTCTCATCTAATTTACTTAATTCAAGAGTCAAATTCACTTCCGAAGATGTGGACTCGCGATATGGGCAAGGTATCTGCCCAGTGACTTTAGCTTCGTTGCTAAATGGTAACATGGATTTTATTGAGAGAGTAGCTGTGTTTATGTGCTTTAGGAAGGCTGAAAAACAGCGCAGATTCGTTCAGCGCCATGTCTGAGTTCACTAGATCCTTTCAGAGGTGCACCCAGCACCCAGAGTTCATCAACTCCTCCAGAAACTGTTCCTATACATGGAGGCTTTCAGTGGTGCTTCATACTGAACCCAGCCCAGATTCATGAGCTGTTGTTCAGTGTCAGTAAGAGGATTTCTCCTTGGGACACCAATAATAGAAACCACGTCATAACCACGCCCCTACAAGAGCAAGCTCCTGATTGGTTAACACGCTAAGTTCAGATTTTCCAACTCGAGCGATACGCGTTAAGTGCGTCAAACATGCTAAATGCTTGCATCACCTCATTTTCGCGAATAGCACCGCAGGATGTCTATTTGCATCTTTACACTGACTTAACATGTAAATCACTTGCACTTGATGTTTCATCTGCATCTGGTGTGAACGCAGCATTACAGTACAAATAAATCAGAACAAAGCTCTTAAAGCTGCAGTCTCACTGCACTTTTCTCCCCATGGATTTTAATTCATACGCACGTGAATGCGTCAGACTGGAAACGCAAGTTCATGCGTCATGTTTCGCAGTTCACTGCGTGCAAAATTCAAGCTTGGTGAACTCTGATCTGCGAAATCGCATCACTTGACTGCGTGGGACCAATCGAGGACCTCTCTGGACAGAAATTTAAAATATGGACCAATCGCTCGCTTTTTTAAAATGTCTAATCATCTTGTTTAATCTCGCCCTTTTTGCATGGCAGTATGCCAGGATTTCATAAGCTTAAACTTTAGTGTGACTGCGTCATAAGTCAGATTCGCACTTTTTAAGTCCGCATGAACCGGAAATTGTGACCAATTTTTTTTTCATATAGTGACACAGTTCCTAGAGAAACGGAATATCATAAGAAAGCAGTGAGCGTGGCTCTTTTTTTTCTACTGCGAGCTAAACAAATGTAGCAAAGTCGGCATTTCATTCAGAAGCATCGGGAAGACGGTTTCGGGAGAGTTAATACAATCTTCCTCACCATTTCTGTTTGCTGTCATATAGCTCTGCCAATACTGAAAGTTGGGGGGGAGTTATTGAGCATATTAGCTGCGACCAATACCTCAGACAGACGTAATTTGAGAATTTAACAGAAAACAAACAGGAAGTGCATTTTCAGATTTCAATTTTAGATTTCACTGTAAAAAATCTGTTATTTTACAGGTTTTTTTTCAGCAGCTAGGGTACCGGAAAAAATGTAAAATATTGGCCATTAAATTACTGATATTTACCATAAAATAACAGATTTAAATTACAGAAATTTTCTTTAATTCAAATTTTTGGTCAATTTCTGTAATTTACTGTCTGCTATTTTACTGTAAATGTCTGTAATTTGACGTACGTTATTTTACGTTTTTTTTCCGGAAAAAATACGTAAAATAACATTATTTTTCTTACAGTGTACAATGTCAAAGTCTTTTTCTTAATGACATGCACAGTTGAATTGTTCACCACAAAACTAGCAATGTAAGCTAACAAAATCAGTAGGCTTGGTTTCGATTCGATGGGTACTTTAAATGCCCTACAAAAAAAAAGTGACCAACCCATCATAGAATAAAAAAATCGACTTACAAGCGTAACAGGACAGAAGAATATAATCAGGGAAAAAACCTGACTATGATACAACCTGTGTAAATGTGTGTATGTGTGACATTAATAATAAGAGCAACAATAATCATAAGAGGATGGGTGTGTGTAGTTGGAATGGCCAGGCTCCCCTAAGCAGATGGTTTAAAGCCTGGGCAGAGAATTAAACGGTATCAGATGGCATTAGTGCCGCGGTGCCAGAGGGAATACACACACACACACGCACACACAAACAACAACACTCCTTGTCCATTCTTTGCGTCTCTGAATTTGTCAAGTTGGATTTTGTAAGTGTTTACAAATGAGTTTCCCTCAATCTGCCACAGAAAGCAGAGGAGATCAGTGACTCTACGACAGTGTCAGATGAGTCCAAGCAGGACTGCGGTTCTGATCAGTCAGCTGACGACACCAGGGGCCAAACAGATGACTCTGATTCAGGCAGTGCGGAGGAGGACACGGGCCTTTACAGACCACATCTGAGCAACAGAGAGGCGATAGTAGCGGACAGATTGAAAGAGCTTCAGCTGCACAGAGCAATGAATGAGCAGCTGTCAATCAAAAGAAAGACACACCCACTGGACACACCCACAGCAGACAAAGGTAAGAGCACTGAAGCAGGATGTGATTTAATCTAAGAAAAAATAATAAATAAAATCCCTTACAGCAAGAAGGTTGTTGGTTCAAGCCTCACTCAGTTGGCGGTTCTGTGTGGAGTTTGCATGTTCTCCCTGTGTTGGCCGGGGTTTCGTCCGGGTGCTCTGGTTTTCCCCACAGTCCAAAGACATGTGCTATAGGTGAATTGGGTAGGCTAAATTGTCCATAGTGTGTAAATGGAAGTGTATGGGTGCATTCGCTGTGTTAAACATATGCTGGATAAGTTGGAGGTTCATTCTGCTGTGGTGACCCCAGCTTAATAAAGGGACTAAGCCAAAAAGAAAATGAATAAATGAATATTTGAAACATTAGAAAAATTGTTAGCACAACTTTATAAAATAAAACAAATATCAACACTTTAGTTAAAGCTTTACCTACTATCAGGGCTCAATTTAGTGATTTGGGGTCTCCAGCCATTGGGCCACAACAGTCCCAACATGCAGTATTTTGTTCATTCATTCATTCATTTTCATTAGGCTTAATCCCTTTATTCATCAGGGCTAGCCACAGTGGAATAAACCGGCAACTTATCCAGCATGTGTTTGATACAGCGGATGCCCTTCCAGCTGCAACCCAGTATTGGGAAACATCCATACACACACAAACACACACAGAGTAGGGCCAATTTATTTTATTCAATTCACCTATAGCCAGGGCCAGACGGAATCTGCAGATGTTTTTTTGCTATTTCTGCTAAGAATTTTGGTAAAAATATGCAGATTTCTGCTGAATTATTTTGGGAGTATCATGACTAAAACCTTAATATGTAAAATAAAAGTAATATATTTTTAAACTTCTATTTAATTTTTAAATCAAAAATCTAATTAGATTCACTTTATTTGGTTACACAAAGCAAGAGTCTCATATAAGATATCTACTAAAAGAGAAAATATTACTATACAAACTGCATTGTACATAAATCAGATGAACATTTTCATATTAGTCAATGATATTACTGTAATTAATTAAAAAACTAAATTAAATTTAGATTTACAAACATTTACTCAAGTTAATAAACAGAATTAATGATGGGCTAAAAGTCTGCGGAATTCAGATTCCGTGTGGGCCTACCTATAGCTCATGTCTTTGGACTTATGGGGGAAACCGAAGCACCCGGAGGAAGCAACTGACCCAGCCAGGACTCAAACCAGTGACCTTCTTGCTGTGAGGCGACAGTGCCAGCCACCATGTCGATGCAGTATTAATTATGCTAAAATTGTATTTGTTTATACTCTCAACATACAAATTATGATGGAAAACTATGTTATTTATATATATATATATATATATATATATATATATATATATATATATATATATATATATATATATATATGTTTTTTTTTTTTTTTTTTGGGGGGGGGGGGGGGGGGGGTCCCATATCTCGGGGAGGAGAGGGGGGCTTACCTTGGTAATAAATCCAGGGACGGTAGACCATTTCAATGTGGTGATGTCACTGGCCCATGAACATTTCTTACTTGTTGTCAAACTATTTCATAACTGTTAAAAGAGGGAGAATTTAATCATAACTTGATGTTGAAACAGCAATCATATATTTTTTTTCAATATATGGATCTTTTAGGATTCTCAAAAGCTATACAAATGTAAAACTGGAAATATATTGGGAATACTGGTGTTGTTTACGTCTATCAAAATGGTCTAACTAACTGTTAGGCCAAATGAATGTCAGAAACTGACATGTTTTCAATATAAATGGGCAGTAAGCTTGCGCCATCTAGTGGACTTTTAGTCGCATTATCACAACAAAGACGGCCAGAGAGCCCCTCCTACAGGACAGACTAGTCGCTGCAGCGATTTCCTTTGTTTACCAGCCGGGCTGATATTCAAAAACAGGGAACTTTAACGTACTATAACGCTGCACCACCTACACACCAACCAAAAAACTACATCCAAACTTATTCTGAAGCGAAAATAACAAATATGACCTGATTCAACTTACCTGCACCTGACTTTTAGCATGCGAGGGCATATGTTAACGTTAGTCAGGTGTGAATTTGTGTCTTCACTTTACACAATATTTCTACATACGTGTTCAAGCTGAAGTGAAACCCCAATGATTTCAGCGAGGGTCTCTTTTCTGTGTGTGTGTAACTCAGTGAGGGTCTCTCTGTGTGTGCGTGTGTGTGACTCAGTCTGTGCGTGTGCGTCCGCGCGCATTTGTGTGCGCTGGAGCGGGAATTTGCGCTGATCCCACGTTTCCATGGCGACAGCATAACGCAGTCAGGGGGTCACGGCTGCAGGGAACGGCCGGAGGAACATCAACAGGAACTGAGGGAGAGAGAGAGAGCGAGAGAGAGACGTGACAAAACTACACTGCTCGCATTATAATCAACACAGATGTGTAGTAGAACTAGAAACTATCTAGTTTTATCACGTGGCACCGCTTGCGTCACTCCACCGACGTCATGTAATTTTTCTCTGAGCCGAAGTAAAAGAAGTCTAAATTTAAACGAGAGTAGGCGATTTTAGACTGAAAGAACTATTAACTGAAGGCATTTTCAACAGTAAAGATACGAAATTAATATAAACAAATAAATAAATACATTTATAAATAGTACTCATTTTACAGCTTTAATTAGATTTTTTCTACATGGTTTGAAATACATATTACTATCATGTGTAAATGTATGACCAAACAATTAAAAAAAAGACTAACTAGACATTGCTGCTAATGATAAGAAATTATACTATCATTTGTTCCCCAAATATATGCATTATTTTAATCTACATGTGCTATTATCAATATTTAGGCTATTACATAGTTCTAGTTTTGGCCAAGCAGAGTCTGTGGACATTTTTTGCTATTTCTTTGTAGAATTTAGTAAAATTTCTGTGGATTTCTGCGGAATGGTTTTGAGAGTATATCATAACTAAAACTTAATATAAGAAATAAAAAAGAACACCTTTTAAACTTTTATTTAATGTTTACAATGCAAATCCAATTAAATCCACTTATTTGGCAAACAAGCAAGTCTTTAATATATATACTAAAAGACAGAAAATGTAACTTTACAAACTGTATTGTAGATTAATCAAATTAACATTTTTATATTAGTCATTAATATTACTGAAATTAATTTAAAAACTGAATACATTTCATTTTACTCAAGTAAATAAATAGACTGGGCTGAAAATCTGTGAAATTCACGTATGCGTAGATTGCGTGTAGGCCTAGTTATAGGTTAAATTACTTTGATTTGTATCACATTTTAGTTTCGTTGTGTTTGTATTTTTATTTAAAACTAAATATTAATGATAAATTGTGTGTAAACTATACATAAATGTATGGTTTATACACAATTCCTCATTTCTATTTAGCACATATACAGTTGAAGTCAGAATTATTAGCCCCCCTGAATAATTACCCCCAATTTTTTTCTCAATTTCTGTTCTGCAAAGAGACAATTTTTTTAACACATTTCTGAACATAACAGTTTTAATAACTCATCTCTAATCACTCATTTATTTTATCTTTGCCATGATGACAGTAAATGATATTGTACAAGATATTTTTCAAGACACTTCTATACGGCTTAAAGTGACAATTAAAGACTTAACTAGGTCAATTAGGTAAGTTATTGTATAATGATGGTTTGCTCTGTAGACTATTGATAAAAAATAGCTTTAAGGGGCTAATAATCTTGAACTTAAAATAGTTTAAAAAAATGTAAAACTGCTTTTATTCTAGCCGAAATAAAAAACATAAGACTTTCTCCAGAAGAAAAAATATTATATTAAATATTATATAAAAATATTATCAGACAAACTGTGAAAATGTAATTTAGGAAATATTTAAAAAAGAAATAACATTTCAAATGGGGCTAATAATTCCTACTAAAGTTTTTTTTTCCCCATAGATACTTAAATTTATGCACATTTTGTATCATATACATATACTTTACACCTACATATTTTCTTAAATATATGCATGCATCGGTGTATTTTTACTTTATATGCATAATATACACAGTACTCCCACATATATTGTGTCAAATCAAACTTTTATTTTGGATGCAACTTATCCTTCCCCAGCACAATATTTAGCCTATGCAGTTCAATTCATCTTTATTTCTAAATTGGTTTTACAATGTAGATTGTGTCAAAGCAGCTTAACATAGAAGTTCTAGTAAATTCAGCTGTACCCGAATATTCTTAGCGATTTTGGGGAGGGAAAGCAATTCCAGATATGGGGCCATATCCTTAAAACTCAAAACATTTTTTTTCTCTATAGATATTTTTTCTCTATAGATTCATGTTTTGTTTTTTGTAAATAAACTACATGTAAAATATATTTTAAGTGGAAACTTTATCTTCCTAATGTAAAATGAAATACAATAAATTCACAAATAAAAACAAGTTAATGAACTGTGTACAGATAATTAGCCATATTTGTGATTAGATTTTAATATTTGCATGTGCAGTAGGGAAGGAATGTTCCAATATTCATGGGGAGCCCCGTGTTTGAAAAGAAGTTGAATGAACCGCCAACTTATCCAGCAAGTTTTTACGCAGCGGATGCCCTTCCAGCCACAACCCATCTCTGGGAAACATCCACACACACATTCACACAGCACTGACAATTTAGCCTACACAATTCACCTGTACCGCATGTCTTTGGACTGTGGGGGAAACCGGAGCACCCGGAGGAAACCCACGCGAAGGCAGGGAGAACATGCAAACTCCACACAAAAACGAGGTTCGAACCAGCGACCCAGCGACCTTCTTGCTGTGAGTCGACAGCACTACCTAGCCCTGAAAAAGAAGTAATATTTTACAACAAATGATTGCCATTGGTCTGGCCCCTCGAATTCCCTAAGACCCTAAGCGACTGCTTACCTTGCTTATTGGTTAAGTCTGCCATTGACCATATATAATCTTTAATCTTTAATATCTTTAATATTTACACTTTTTAAGTCAGTTCACAG